AAAATGGCAGTAAAATGTTTATTTTGTTTTATGTTAAAAAAGTGTTAAAAATGGAAATAAACCCATTTCAGAACAGTGCTGTCTTGTTTACATTTTGGCATTTTCAAGGCGTGACTTTGAAGTTCCATGGGCCTGAAGACCTTTGCTAGTCACATTTTCTGAATATCTGTGAAACAAATATTTTATAATTAAAAATTGATGGTCATTAAGCTGTTAAACATTATGTAATATTGCATCAAAATTTGAAGAAACCCCTATTTTGGGCACTGCTTCCATGATGACCATTTAAGGAAAATCATGTCACTTACTGTTCTCAAACTTACAGGAAAGAAACATGGGACTAAAATACAGCTTCAGTAGGCAATGCAGTCTGTTTGGTATTTTTATTTATTTATTTATTTATTTTGGCAGTTAAACAGTTTTTTGTGAAAATTTAATTTTTCACATATTGGCATTTTCAAGGTGTGACTTTAAAGTTCCATGATCTTGAAGACTTTTGCTTGTCACATTTTCTGAATGTCCATGTTACTAATATTTTATTAATAACATTTGATTGTCATTATGCTGTTAAACATTATGTAATGTTGCATCAAAATTTGAAGAAACCCCTATTTTGGGCACTGCTCCTATGATGACCATTTAAGGGAAATCATGTCACTTACTGTTCTCAAACTTGCAGGAAAGAAACATGGGTCTAACATACAGCTTCAATAGGCAACGCAGTCTGTTTGGTAAACTTTTCTGGCAATTTAACAGTTTTTTGTGAAACTTTAATTTTTCACTTATTTGCATCTTTATTTTCTGTTCTTTGTCTGTACATTTGACAGCTTTGCTGCCTTGTTGTCATTACCCACTACCGCCCACTAAAATCTTTATTGATCTATAAGCAGTGCTAGCACTCTATCTATTTTGTTTTAAAAATTATTTTGTTAAATATCATTACGCCCCTGACTTCCGTCATTATGGTTCCCGTTCAAATAAAGAAAGCTTTAAATTCATAAGAAAAAATAGAATACAGATGCGTTTTGATTTTAAAGCAAGAATCTTATCATCCTTCTGCTAAAAAATGAAAGTGAAAGCCGTAAATTTTTTTGAGAAAAAAATAATAGGTTTCAATTTTTTAACGGGATGGCAAGTTCGCACAATCTGTCGGTATCTTTGTAGATTAGGTAAAGCCCCATCTTGCATGATCGAACACAGTGCCGCACCAGTGATTTTATCTGGTCGAATCATCCGACCTGTGGAATCTGACAGCTATATCTAATCACTGATACGGCTGAAAAAACTTGATTGTTTTATTTTTTTACCATTGTCATTTCAGCGAACCTGAATCAACTTCCAGAGATGGGGATCCATTGTGCCTTATCATAAAATAATAATAAAAAAAAACAACAAAGGTCTTACACAAAGCATCTAAATCGAGGCTTCCGAACAGAAAGTGGGTGACTTGTATCATTGTTGTGTAAATCAGGTGAGCGTTTTGGTGAGAGGTGTTCAGATGTTCCAAGGTCAGTAGAAGATGAAGTAGACAGAAGCCACGCTGCTACATTTTCCACGTGTAGTCAGAAAATTTAGCACTAAAAACGAGTAGTTTAGTTGTGAGTAGTGTATAGATACATGTAGTGCAAGATAAGATTGCGTTAACGATATTTTGCAAAAATGTTGCGTTTCGTACTTCAGGCATTATGAGCATGGGGGCATTCTACTGGCGTGAACAATGCTTTCCAATAAGAACCCAAAATCAGCTTATAGCGTAAATATTTTGTTTTGGTTATTTTTCTTGTGTCTTTTTTGTAACTTACCTAACGTATGAATCTATGGCATGGAGGCTGAGGAGTTTGTTTGTTGCAACATGGTATATATAGATAACGCTGTACATTAAGTGTGTGCTTGCATAGAAGGTCTTAGTTCAATATACACATTCTTTACATTTAAGTAAATTGTGAATGTTATATATAATATGTCATGTTTGATTTGCTGTAACGATTATTTTCTGTTTTGTCAAATCTACATCAGACAAGTATCGCCGTTGAATATCTCTTCGTTTAATTTCAGTAACTTTAATTGCCATTTACGAGGAGATTAGATGTGTCTTCCATCAGAGACATCAGATTCGTGATCGACGGTGCCCACACCCATGTCAAGATTGTCTAGCTTCCCGCAGTTTGTCATCTAGTTAATTTACAAGGTTGACATGAAATATCATGTGTTATGTTGTGTCAAAACGTATAACAAATGAATAATTGCACGTAATAAGCGTTTTATTCACGAAACATCTGATCATAAAAAAATGTAAGTAATTTATCTAAACCTGCGTGTCGCTTGTTTAATACTATGCATATGTAGCACAGCACTGTAACCGCCCTTTGCTTTTTTATTGTAATTTGTTTATACCCTTGGGTTGGGAGGGATTTTCCATCCGTTTTGGAAATCTTTGTGGAGTACAGGGGAATAATGTCAGGGCAAAACATGCAGTGCTTAAATGTTATATGAAAACGAAAATTATACAATGATAGTTGTAAGATTATTTTTAAGTGATGTACTGTTGGAGTATGTGCTAGCACGACCAATTTTCTGTTACGACGAAAAAGATATGTAGGCAAATCTGCAAACGCCTAAACGCCCAACTGTGGACTTGAAGATGTTTGTTTTAAATTGAATTCAAATACTTGTTTTGATTAAGTTAACTTAGGGAAGAAAAAAACCGTTGTCGCAACTCCATTGCGTAAAGTGCATATGAAATTTTCTTTTCGATAAACATATATTGGTGTGTTCTGTTGATGTAGAAAACGATACATAAAACTCCAATAACTTGGAAACGCTGAATTCTAAGTTACTGCTCTTCAAAAATAACAGCATTATGCAACTGCCAAAATGTGCCCATGTTATTGCAGATTTGCCTGCACGAAGCGTAAGCTCTTTCTGAAGTTGGGAATATGCGATTGTGACGCGTGCTAAGAATAAAGCTCCCTATGGTATTCGGTGTTTTGATGCCGTGTGTCTGATCAATGACGGCCCCATATTTTTACTGTTGGGAGGGGATCAAATGCTTCAAGAAAGTGAAACTGAGTTGGGTAGAGATTTTTTCCGAAATTGATCTGCATTTGGCATTGAAGTAGAATGCATGTTGTGTACATGATAACAGAAATTGCCCCTGCTTAAGCTATAAAAATTCTAAAAATTCTTTCAAGCATTTTATTGTCAATATCACCATACATAAATTGTTAATGATCGCCAAAAGGAAACATCTAATAGTTCATTTCGGACTTCCATTTATCTTGATCTTAATCTTGTACATTTTAATTTTTCGAAAAAATTTTTACCAAAATCATATTTGACCTTGTTACTTCGAAAAGCTCGATTTTTCTTTGGGTAATGAGACTTCAAAAATAATGGGTTGAAGATTTTTTGGCCTTCAACTTTTGTCAATATTTTCAAAATAATATCTGAAATAGTTTAACGGGAAACGTACGGAACTTTGTAGGGACACTTTTCCCATTTATTCTTGTATTACTTTTGATATTAATTTATCAGATGTGTATACATAAAATAACACTTCGATTGGTTTGATAATTTTGATTCGAATTGCAAGCCAGCATTCTATTTGAGTTTGAACTTGTATTAAGTGATTTCTTAATTCTACATTTGGTCGGGATCAAGGGTGATTGAGAAGAAAAGGCTTGATAAGACGTAATTTTTGCACGTCCTGTTGGATTATTTTTACTGGGTGTCTCTCGATCACTGAACACCGGAGAACACAGTTGAATTTAATAACATTTTTTTTTGCCTTTTGAGTAACTTTTTGAGCTTTGTATATTGTTCTAAAAATGGTAACACGTGTTAGACTGAGATAAGGTTGTATAGTGACCATATCAGTAGGCTGCTCGTGACTAGCGCACGCTCTGCAAATGCACATTTCAGTTTTGGCTTAGATGTTCGGCATCGAGTACAGATTTTCGGATTTTTTATTTGAAGAAAAATTTATTTAAGACAATCTAATTTCAGTGATGAGCAAAACAACGTAAATACTTGGATGCGTGCTCATGTCCGGGGGGTAACGTTGACGTGAGATTATATGCATTTTGAATTTGACATCGTTCACTAAATTTGGACAAAAATTTCCCTTCATTAAAGTTGCGATCAATCAAAACTCGAATACTTAAATGGTAACTTTAAACCAAAGTTTCACAGTAGATCCTCCTATCTACGTATTGTTTATGGCCAAATAACGTACTTTTTGGTTGTGGTTAGAAATATTTTGACCGTACTGTTCCTAAACTTCAAAATAATAGTTTGAGCAACAATTTTCAAAATGCATAGAATCACTGACACGTGTTTTTGATAGTTTTTTTTTTTTGTTTTGAAAATCTTATTTTATGATTTGAAATACGATATTTTATTGAAATTGTTTTTACTTTAAAATGTAATTTTAATATTTTTCACATAGTTGTACACCTTTTTTTCTTTGCTGCAATTGCTCATGTTCATATGGTGAAAAAAATAAACGTAGATATATACATTTGTCATACTTTTTTTTTTCAAAATTTGCAAAAAGGTATCTCTATGTCCTCTAACGACTCGAGCCACCGACCAGCTGATCGCAACCTTGCCGTCATACCTGTTGAGCCACTGACTCCACTTGACGGGTTTTGTTTGTAAGATAGTTTTGTTGTAGTTCAAATTGTTCATTTAGTTATTTTTAGCAAAAGGTGATTTGCTGGGACCCAGAAACGCGCGGTTTTGAACTCAAGACCTTCCGACTCCGAGTCAAGAGCGTTACCTACTCCTCTAAGTGTTCCCTCCACCCTCGACGGGTGGACTTTCTTTTTATAGTAACCAAAATAATAATTTAAGAACACCTTGAAAAGTGTTTATAAGTTTCCAAGTACCCAACCCAGGATTCGAACCCCAACCCCTCTCCGAACCTCTAGCCAATAAAAATACCAAGACATTTTTGCATATTTTTGAATTTTTATTACAAGAAAAGCATAATTAATTTCCATTTATGTTTTAATTCATTTTTAAGACATTTGTCTGTAAAACTACATTCTGATTTTTTATTCACTGCAAGTGTTGACACTTCGATTACGTTAGACATTACTGAAATTTGCATTATTCCAAAGTGTAACTACTTTCTATTAACTCGCAATAGCGATTGACATAATAGCATGTTACATTAAAGTGGGGGATATAGAATTTGAAAAAAATCCTTACAGAAATGTTTCAAAAAGGTATATGCAACACGAATATCGAGGGACAGATCATGATTTTACTTTTACTCCCTACATCCTGTTTGATTCCAAAATTGTCAGAACAAATGTTTTGTAAATTGCTGAACATAAATTGTCCTCCAATGGGACAAAACAAACACTATTTGTGCACCTACTGGCCGATAGATATAAAGGTGCTGGTAAGATAGACTTGAACAGTAAAATTCAGTAATTGGGAAAGCTCAAACATAAAAATGTATTTCCCATCGTATTGATGGTACACTTATAATAATCAAATCAGCTGTTCAAAATCAGATTTTCAAGTTAAACATTTATTTCAACCATGGAGTGTAAATTCTGTAATCTTTAAACACTGTACACCTAAGAATAGACCGCGATGTGAAAGATGACATCTTATTCAACAAGACAGCAAGTTTTTCAAATGTTAAAGATGATAGTCCTTTTTATCTGAACATGCAAAGTGAAGCAATCGTTAAAAGCACATAATGAGCGTTAGATTCTTGTATAGCAAAAATGATTTTCTGGGAATTTCAAGACTTTTTCCTTACCAAAAAGAATACCATATCCAAAGCTGATCTCAGAATTACGGTCCAACAAACCATTTTTGAGTTTAAAAGTTTCTCATCTTTCGAGTCACTCGCACAGAGGAGACAAAACCGGGGAGTCTCACTTATGACATTAAAAACTCGCATACTGATTTAAAGACCGCACTTCGCTAAACAATTTTGAATTAGGAAAACCTTGGTGGTGATGTGAGAATGCGGATTTCAGGAATCTGCTTCTGCTATACACAGCTGTAACAGGCATTATGTCTTCAACAGTATAGGTTAAATATTTGAAGTATTTTATATCCAAAGCTCAAACTGACGAGTAAAATGCCCCCGATTTGGAGATTAAAATACCATTAACATTTCATTCAATGTAATCTTGTCAACTCTTAAGTGTTAAATTTTAATACAATTAACTGGATAAAGGAATTATATGACGTGAAATGTATTTGCCTTAAGATTAATAACTTAAAGCTACTTCTACATTATTTTTTTTTCTTCTGAGAGCATAAACACGCAAAAAATACCCAAAAATCATTGAAATATGCAAAAATAGACGAACAAAGTTTTAATTATCTGTTGCAACTTCAACATGATTTTTCTTTGTCTCAGTTTTGCATGATGAGGAAAGAGTCAGATTTAGCTTAACACAGATATTCTTATGAAATAGCATGTTTTACTTGTTTTATTCGCATGAGAACTAAACGTCATAAAACCACTTGCTGCCTTGCTGAAGAATACCGGCAGTAGTAACATATGCATTTTATAAATGCCACTGTGGCCAACTGTTAAGTATTATTAGAATGTTACTGTAACATATCGAAAGGCAAAAGGGCAGAAATCTTCGTCGAAATAAAGCAAGTTTTATAACTGATGACCGCGCTGTCTTAAATATGCCACTTTTCAAATATTCAATATTTCATCTGCAAGAATTCAAAATTGGTATAGTAAAATAAATCTTACTCACATGAAAAATAATTGTGGACAGAGTTTTGAATGAGCAGTGCGATATTGTCAACGAGCATCGATTGAAAAGTATGGAGGTACGATCAAAATCCATTTTAAAAAGCATTACGCGTTGTCATTTCGCCCCTTATGCCTCTTGACTTGAACATCTATCACACATAGGGTTAGCTATAATTCAGCTCACATATATTAACGGATTGAAATGTTACAGCTTTATCCGTGAAATCGTATATTACTATTGTTATATTTCGACTATCGACATTTCACTAAATATCCACGTGCCAAGTGCTAGCATTTTGAAAGGGCCACTCCTCAGCATTTCCCTCTTCTTGACGATTTTTCACCTAAAACTTTTACTACCACTACAATTTCTATCAACGGAGTTCAAATCAGTTAGCTTGAGGTGCAACTGCACTTTTAATTTTCATGCTACTCGTACGTGCAGAATTGACTAAGTTATGGAGGAAGCAAAATGTTAAGGAAGGAAAATACTGGGGACGGATTGGTCATTTTTAAGCATGCAGACGTCAAAATTGAATCACAGATAAATTATCAACAAATACCTAACATTAATAACTTAAAACCTTATTTTGAATCTGTTGAAATTAAAATATCCGTATACTTATTATCTAGACCGCCTTGCGTTCACTCCCTGGTCACTCGGAACTGAAAATGAAGTGACAACTTTTTCATGAGTGCAGGCTCATTTCATGGGGGAGGAGGCAAGATGATGTAGGGGCTTTTTCTAATTAACACTCGCCATTATCTGGCAGTTAAATCTTCATTTCCAATTCACTAAAATAAAAATACATAGGATGTATTTGTTTAAACATATTTGAAATCTAAACCTCAAGAAATAAAATCCCAGACATAAACCAACCCCAAAATAAAGCGACATCATGCAGGTCACTGACTATCCTAATATGGTCCACTGCATGCGTAAAATTGAGCAGTTTTTATCATGTTTGATGAACCAGACATACCATAGCGCCATCTAGAGAAAAAAAGAAACGTTTGTCTCTGCTTCAAACGGAATCTGCAGATTTTTTAATTACAATTTTAGGGATATGAAAAAATCAGAAATTAAAATGAACGTATTCCATTTTTACCTTTTATTTGGGTAATGACTAATGAACTTAGATGCATCAAGGAGTTATAACTCCTTGGATGCATGCACTTCTCTCTTATATATAGTATGCATACCTGCGTGTATGTATGTGTGTGTGTGTGTGTGTGTGTGGGCGTGCGTGTGTGGGCGTGCGTGTATATACTTAAAGTGATAATAACTCTTCGTTTCGGCCAAAAAATGAATTTTCCTGGAGTAAACAACAATTTTCCCATACTTACCAATGGTTAATGAATCCATTTTTACATTCAAAGTTAGTCCCTGGTTTTTTTCTAAAAAGTTTGGTTTTTTGTTAAAATCTCTTAAGACAAGCTCAGATATCAGAATAATAGCTATAACTGCCGTTTATGTGGTAAAACAGAATATATTATATTTGTATGAGTTATTCACAATGTTTTTATTGTGAAATATAGATCTCATACGAAGAGTTATTATCCCTTTAATTATCAGCAAATGTAAAACAGAAATTGTGAATACGAACCGAATAACACACACTACAGAGTGCCTACCCTCTACCAGAGCCAAAGATTGATTTTTCACTAGATATTCACATATTTTGTCTCTGATCGATTACTCTACACTCACGTTATATGAAAGTGCACAAAATTAATCTGCGGCCCTGGAAGAGGGTACAGAGTGTCTATGTCTACAAAATAGAAAAGCACCGTCTCGGTTCAAGATCGGTTGTCACCTTGATAGGTTAATGAATCTTCAATAAATCTTACATGTAAGACTTTAGAATATTACCAATTGAGAAAAAGCAATCAAAACCAGCTCAAAATTTGCCGCTTTTCAGCTTTATTTTAAAATTTTTAGACGTACCTATTTTAGCAAACGTCTTCATTTGGCATAACATGAAGAAGGAATTAGCTAGACAAGTGTGGTTGATAACAGCACATGGAAACACACTAAAATACTTCGAAAAATTTTTAAAACGGGGGAAAATACCGGCAAAACACAGCTGTTGCCTGAAAAAATGATGGCCAAAACCCTAAACACCTGCTACTAGCCTTCATAATGTGAAGAATGATTGGTTTTTAATGACTTATGCAAAATTCATATTGCTTTTTATAGGCAGAATTTGTAACTAATGTACTTTTCTCGGAAAACTGTTGCCACTCACGGACGCGAAAACACAATCCACTACATCGATAGACTGATGATTTTAATTTTGATTAAGTTTTGGTTTATACGGTGTCTAATTTTTCTGTCTATTTTTCCTGCCATCTATATTCATTTATCTCATATACCGGTATATTGTGTAAATGTTTAATTTCATGATAGAAGAGAATTTTCGTTATTTTCGATTTTAAACTCTGATTGATTGACCGGGCCCTTATGCAAAGAAATCGGTGCCAGTCAGATGAAATATTACAGTGACATAAATATTGTGGACCCGAACTGCATAAAAAGCAGTTATAAAATTTCCT